GGGGGGGGGGGGGGGGGGGGGTCTTTGTGTCCGTCCGTCTTCTATATCTGTTCTTCTTAGTTCTAATAACCACTTCATATTTTCCACACTAAGCCAAATGCACAGATAGTCAATGCATCTTCAGAGTACATCTGTCTACGTGTAGAGTTACATGCATGTGATTCATGTTAATACACAGAACGAAACAGATGGTGTAGTGTAGACCGTAACATAGTCTGACTCAAGATGACTAAAGAATATACTTTCACTCTTTCTCTTGTTCCCATGGTTTTCTTTTTTCTATAAATTATTAGTCATCAATGCCGGGATGAGGAAGTTCTTCCTGCAGGCCAATGATCAGCAGGACCTCGTGGACTGGGTCAACGCTCTCAATAAAGCCACTAAAATCACTGTGAGACAAATGCACGCACATACACACAGTGTCCATAGATAAACACAAGATGTACAGTTCTCTCCTGATTCAGCTGTAATCATCTGTTCTTCTTGGCTCATGTTTTATAACGTTCTGAGAAACTTTTATTTCTTCCTCTGGAGATATGAATGAGTGGACTGTCAAGAAACTAGAGTGAGTCACAGTATGACTAACAGGATGCTGTATTGTTGTCCTTTGTACTAGGATGAAGGATAATTTCCATTGAGCTTTCACCATCCAGATAGGAAATGGATATAAAATGTGGTCTTGGCTCATTAACTTTAAGTGTTTTGTTTTCCCTTTTACTACGAAACTTTAGAACGTGTTTCTGTTCAAATATTGTGTTTAATTATAAAGTCTGATATGTGTTTGTGTACTTAAGGTGCCAAAGTCGTATGATGGCCAACAGAATACAGAGAACCAGAAGGTTTTGCCAGATGTCACGGGACCAAAGAAACAAGTGTCTTATAAGACAGAGATAATTGGAGGAGTCCCCATCGTCACCCAGACACAGGTAAACATGACCAACACATGTACATACCTTATTCCAGTTACATATTTAAAAATGCATTATGTTAAAACATTTTGAAACCTGACAAACTGCTGTTAACAATGAGTTGTTTTATTAATGTACACTGATATTCTGAAAACTATAATTTTATCCACAAGACCATTCCACTACTGCTTTTGTCTCTTGTGTATAATTTTAAAACAGAAAATCATTGGGTTTTGGAGTGTCGGTTAAATAAATCAAGCAATTTGAAGACATAGGCTCTTGCAAAATCTCATGGTCATTTTTCACTATTTTGTGTGATTCTTGTGTTATTAAATGATTTGTTTGTTGTGCATTCACTATATTGTGTTAAATTACCCTACAGTCAAGATTCTGTCTAACATTTGGTAGATGTTTTCATAGATTCCTTGACATAAATCGGCCATTTGTTTTTGTTTGAAATGTTTTTTAACTAAATTACAATATCTCGGGTGTCCCTCACCCTCCAGCGTGATGGCGGTGACGGGGCAGACAGAGCAGAGCGAGATGCCATGCAGCGCTCTCACAGCCAGCTGCCGTACTTCCTGAGCAGGCCGACTCAAGAACACAGTGTCATTAAGTCAGGTTACTGTGTCAAACAAGGAGCTGTGGTGAGTACCTGCCACCGCCGTGTTATAGTTCCAAGTTAGGCATGTGATGGTGGTCATCTATGTCACTGGCTGTATACAGTGCAACATCCCTTGTCTGAAAATCACTTGCATTTAATCAGGCCAACCCATCGATATGCAATACCATTTTTTATTCATGGCACAATCATAATTCAGCTGCTTTCAGACATGCAATGAACGGCCTCGAGTTCAGGCCCGAATGAGCCTGTGTGAGAATACAGCAGCATACCAAACACACACCGGATGGATAAGGAGGTGCCATGCATGAAGAGGACGCAGATGTTATCTAGGAAAGACAATGAGATCTGAGAGCTTTTAGTGATAAGGGCCGACATCGGTGTTGAAGTTGTGTAAACAAAATTGTGAGAGATCTTGTTTTGCTAGAAAACTATTTGCCAAAAGTTTTAAACATACTTTCACCTTTTCCCCCCAGATGAGGAACTGGAAACGTCGATATTTCCTACTGGAGGAAAACTCAATGAGTTACTTCAAGTCTGATTTGGTAATCAACTTTGATTCAATTATATGAGGTCTATAAGGAATGTTTTTATTGATGGTGCATGTGTTTTGGGTTCACCCTCACAGTCTTAGGCAGAGTAACACCGAACACAGTCCTGACTCAAACATGTTTTATCCGCAGTGTGAGTGGAATTCAGTGCTCTCATTGCACATGTCCCATCATGCCTTGTTCCCCTGTTGGCTTCTCTCGCTCTCTCTCACACACACACACACACACACACACACACACACACACACACACACACACACACACACACACACACACACACACACGGACTGTCCTCAGGGCAATACTGCACGTCCCATTCCCAGTACTTGGCAAGGTCTGCCCTTATTTGACAGCTTTATCTGTCTGTTTGGCTATCAACAGGCCCCAAGGACAGAGACTTTCTGTCTGCTGGATAAAATGGTCAAGAAAGTTTCAACCATCAGGGTTTTACTTTGCTGCGTCTTTGAAAAACTGTTTGTACCCACTACATTAGCAGAAGCATTTGTAATAATTATACTGTGCATTTCAAGTTCTGGCTTCTGTGAGTGTTGTTATTATCTATTCTCCTTATTCACTCATTATTTTTCTTACCTTTAGGAGAAAGAGCCTCTGAGAATGATCCCCCTGAAGGAAGTTCATAAAGTCCAGGAGTGCAAACAGAGGTATTAAACATTTCCAAACATTTTACCAATGTTAAAAAAAACTTTTGTCCAAGGGGGTTGGTGTTTACGTGTTCTGATTTAAATTATACTGTCAATGAGAGGAATGTGATTTGACTTGTTTTCCACTTTGTTATAGTGACATTATGATGAGGGATAATCTGTTTGAAGTCGTCACCACATCAAGGACATTTTACATACAGGTGCATCTTTCTCTATGATAAAATATACTCTCGATTTGCATACATACACACACACACACTGTACCTTTCCATCACTTCTGATCTCCAGTCCTCACTGTTCTCATTCTTGTCTGTCATTTTCTTCGTCTTTGTCTCCAACAGGCGGACAGTCCAGAGGAGATGCACAGCTGGATCAAGGCTGTCTCAGGGGCCATTGTGGCCCAGCGGGGGCCTGGGAGGTCTGCTGCCACAGTATGTATCATACACCACTGTACAGTGCAGTGCCACCATGGTATAGATTCCTCACCATTCAACTCATGTCTGACCTCATGTGTACCTCTGGAAAAGGACAATCACTTCTGACACTTCTAACGTGCAGAACTTGAGACTTATCTTACTTTGACTAAAACTATTCAAATCACTGTTCTGTCTTTTCTGACTGTATTTTTTCTGACAATCAAGTCAGCTTTTAATAATTTTCTGCAGTTTCTCATAAGAGCTCCCACAGCTAAACGCTACAGAGATGAGAGAAGTTTATCTACAGTAGTTTTCAGAACTTTCCCATGTTTTTAACAACATCAGGCCCAGCAATATAGTTGATTGTAAAGTCTGACAACAAATCAGATGAAGCTACATTTTTCATTCTGTAGTAACTCATAACTCTTAGGACAGATGCTACCAGGCTGTGAGGAAACTTTTGGTGTTTGGCACAGCCTATTTCCCGCCTTCCAATGGCATAATACACTTTTGTTTTTACTAGGTTTTGTCTTCATTAGACAATTGGCAGTTGATTAATGACAGGAAGAGGAAGGGGAGGGAAAGAGATGGGGAATCATAAGCAACGAATGTCTCCAGCTGGACTTGAACCAGTGATGTTTGCTGTTCATAGCTGACATAACCCTTGAACCACCTGGGTGACTCAAGTTATTTTAAGTTAAGTAGGTCATCAGCTCACAAGATAGCAATCTGTTATCCACTCTTTTGTTGGCGAGTGTGAGTTCGTAATGTTTAGTTTTACGACATCTTATTAGTTCAGTCAGCACCCTACATGCATGGAGACGGGCAGGTAGACTTGGCAGGTGTGAAGAGAGAAGTAAACCAGTTCCAAACGTCCTCAGCTGCAGCTGGTTCCTTCTGGTTGGACTGGAATCATTCTCAACACGTCTGCGCTGACTCTCTCTACAGTTCCCTCTTTCTTGCCTCCTGTGTCTTCTTTCTCTCTTGCTTGTTTTTCTCTCACCTCAGTTTACCCTCTCTTGTGCCTCTCTCGTCTTTTTTCCATTCTTTCTTCCTTTGTCACATTCTCTCCACCTCCTCCTCTCCCTGTGGGCAGATGGCCCATCTGCTCTAATCCTGCTTTGCACTGTGTTGTTGCAGATGCGGCAGGCCAGACGGCTGTCGAACCCCTGTATACAGAGGTATACGTCCCGAATCGGGGAGTGCAGCAGCACGTATGTCAGCTCGTCTAAATCCCCCTTTTTAAACTATAAGTTCACCTTTTTTAATACTGTTTTCCACTCACTGGCTGACCCTTTGTGGTTGTAGACATTATGAGGGCAGATCAGATCTGACGGCAAATCTGATGCTCCTGTTTTTTTGCCAACCACACCCTACATATGGCTGTGATAACCCAACAAGCGCTCCTCCCTTCACGCCCTCATTCTCAACGCTTCTCTGATCGACTTCTCTTCCTCCTTTGCTTTTCTTTTCCCTTGGTGAACTGTCACTTTAGCTCCGCTAGAAATTTAGATCCACTGCATTCAGATTGTTTCCAGCGAAACGGGTAAAAAAAATTAGCTTGTGTTAGAAACTGTAGGGCTCAGGTTGTGCTTAATTTATCTTCTCTTGCACGTGATGACTGTCACAAGCACGGTAACTCAAATCAAGCACACCTCAAGTCTTTTAAATGCTAAAATATATAATATTGTTGCAGAATGACTCGATACAGTTGGAATATGACCATGTAACTATTGGACAAACCTGCAGTCACTGCCTCCCTCCCTTATGGTTTCACTTCTACAGCTTTCATGATTATTGATGACGATCTCATGCCCTCCACACACCTGCTATTAACATGTGGTTTTTGTGATCCTGTCACATGTGGACAGCTCTGTGCGCCGTGCATTCCCACTTTTATTAACATACGTCTCGGATCTCACTTCCCCACCCTATATGCCAATAAACACGTACATCTTTTCTATTCACGAAGACCAAGTGATTGTTTGTGTCTGCCATATGTATACCATCCAGTGTCTGCTAGCTCAGTCCATAGAGACTTGGCTTGGGAACCGTAGGGTGGCCGGTTCAAGTCTTGAGCAAGGCACCGAACCCCCCAATTGCTCCCCGGGCGCCTGTGTTCACACGGATGGGTTGAATACAGAAGTCAAATTTCCTGTTGCATGCTGTGTGAACCATAAATAGGAATCTTAATCTTAAAGTGAGTGGGCAAGAGAGAGGTCACACATGAGGCCCAGCCCACCTAATGTGGTCCAGCTCGATGAGATCGCTATCTGATCTGAGTGCGTTCACACCTATATTTAGAAATGTCCACTTGTGAGCAGATCATAAAAACCACATGTTAATTCCAGGGGTGTAAGGGGCCGTATACACGAGTTGATGAACAATCCATGTGCAAACACACACTCACTGCTTGATCCTCCCGACAAACTTAGCTGTGAATAGCTGTTTTCTCTGTTCTTTATTACTGGGTACATGTGTCTTTCACACCTTGTGTTTCTCTCCCTTCATGCTCTGTTATCTCTGCAGTCTGCTGCAGCTGTGTACCTGTCTTAGATGTGTGACATCCTGCCTGTCTCTCCTCCTCCCTCCTGTTCGCTGCCTGTATGTTTTTTCCTCTTGCTCATACACACAATAACAATGATAACGATACACTTGTTTCCACGTTGATCACCTCCACCTTCTGTGTGTTAAATGTTAAACATTTTACCAGCGTTGAAATGAGGACTCACCAGTGCTGAATCCACACATCCAAAGTCACAGTCTTTAGGTAGATTTACATGCACATGTTTGGGTTTGTAAGAGCTTTTAATGTGTTATGAGATCATATCAGTTAATCAATTGTGCAATTAACCTGCAGGTAATTGTCAGTGATTATCTGATGAATTTGCACCTTCGGATTCAGCACAAATCTCTTAACACGTGTTTGTGTGTCTCACATTAACATTTCTGTGTAAGGAAACTAAATCTAAGATCTTGTGCTGCTCATGTTACACTCAATGGAGTTTTCACAAGCCTGCAAAGTCCCAGGAATTGTCAAAATACTGAACCTTTAAGTCGACAGATATTTATTTTGGTGTTTCTTGGGGCTTGATGTTTTATTTTCTAACCCACATTTCACCAAATGCACAACTCCCCGTTTATAATTCCCACAACCTCTGCTGTGTCGTCTTTCTTCTCATGCCTCTGCTTTGTGTTTCAGAGATTGAAATCTGACAATGAAAGGCTGTGAAATAATGATCAAGAACCAACCACTGCTTCCTAAGACACTCTGCTCTTCCACTGCAACCTGTTGAGACTACCAAAACTAAAACCTGCTGACACTACTACCACTGCTACCGCTACCTCTACTACTCCTACTACTACTGCTACTTCTTCTGCTACTACAGCCACCATCTCCACTCTCTTGCAATGCTACATTCTTCAGCACCTACATCCCTAAAGCTGCATCAGGCCCCACATGCTGGTGCTGATTCCAAGTCTGTAACTCACTTTGGCTCCTCTCAAATAAACTCTGCTTTTCAGGATTTCACTTTTGTTACTAACAACTACTTGTCTTGTCTCTCTCACTCTTCTGTCCCCCCCCCACCCCGTTTCTGTTGCAGGAACATGGCAGCCGTTCCACTTTCTACCGTATCTCATCGGGCCCCCCCGTCCCTCGCTCGCCCATATCTGCCATGCCACCATGCTACCCAGAGTGGGGGGCTGCTGTCACGTGCGGCACACGCACACAGCCTGGCGTGGGACAGCGAGCACTTCATGAGCCTGCTGCCACGGCCCAGTCACAGCCACACGCCAGCACGCCTGTCCCTGCAGGAGACACGTCTGGCAAAGTGACCTACAAGCCATCTGTGACCACCATCACCAACTTGGAAGAGTCACCGTGGCGACGGCGGAGCAGCTTTGAGCCCCGCATGCCTGAACCAGAACCTGTGGACTTGGATGATGCCGACTTGCCAGTGAGTGAGGTCTGAGCCTGACTTGAACTGGACATTAAAACCTGTTTATCTGGATGGATGTTAATGTTGGATGGATAAAGAGGAAACCCTGCACTACAGGTGCTATTAAAAAAAAAAAAAAAAAGGGGGGG